AGTTTCAAAGTGTGCAAGTGTATGCATTTTTTCCAAGACGACATGAAGGCTTAACTGTCTGTTTAGTTCTTCATGCAACCTGTCAGGAGAAATATAAGAGGAAAAGCGAAAGTGAGAAAGCACCTGCCACTTCAGATGACATCTGAAATTAAACTGGTAATCTCTGGAACAAAAGGGTATGATTTGCTGTAGAGTACAAAATGTTGCTTTGCCTACCTGAGATAGTAACTTCATCTGAACTAGGTGCAAACCTTGCAATCAAACATGATTGATTAAAATTTTCACAGCAGTGGGGCAAACAATTTAATTTAAAACAACAGGGCAAATAAATGCACAAGAAGTGATTCAGTTCTCCACGTTCACGTAGATAATTTGACCTTCATGTTACAGGATTTTACACAATAAATTAATGCTAGCTAACTCCATTACAGACTCATTCTCTTTCTCAAACAAATGGTGGCTTTCTGCATAATGGATTTCATCTTAACAAGGCTAAAACGGCAAGAACAAATTGGAGCAGCATGCTATGAATATCCTGACTTAAAAAACACAGCAATATCACCACTGTTACCTGTGCAGGTTATTAAAAAGGGTAAAGTAAGAGAGAAAATGATGAAATCCAGGATAGAAATTGGCATATCTGATCCTTTTCCCCTTTAAAATTCTTAAGTCAAAGTACACTTAAAAAATGTAGAAGCCACTGACTTAAAAAGGATATTCAAATGGGCAGATCAGCCTTTCTATGATAGATAAGCATTTCATCCTTTTGTACTTGCATGGAACATTGCAAGTATGTAAGGGGATAAGTTTGTTGCAACATTATTTTACAGGTTTCGTCACTGGCCCCTCCAGCAGATGACTATACCACCTATCTTTTCTGATGGTCCTCTTCACTTTTAGAAAATAATTGACTTGCCCCTACCTCTTTTTGGCCAATGTATCTGTCCGGAAAGACGTTTACTAGACAGTAACAGATAGTATTTTTTAAATTATTTAAACAATTGATAAGGCCACATATTTCCAAAAAGAGACTCTGGATAGTCTACAAGAGTTAAAAACAACAAGGTAACAGTAAAGTCCTTTTTACTGCTCTGCCTTTATTTATTTGCCAGTTATTCATTGAAATGCACCAGTTCAGTTACTGAAGTACAAAGGAGGTATAGCATTACTTTTGAAACCCCTCTTTTGCTATTCATTGGGATTCAACCAGTGTTGGATGGGGCATATGTCCCCCCCCCCCAAAAGGGAAGTTCATGGCTTGAATTTTGAACTTTGGCTTCAGTGCTGATGGTGGCTATAAGAACCAACACCTTTAAAGCCCTACATGGCATGGGCCAGATTACCCGAGGGACCGCCTCTCCCCCACGATTTCAACCTGTCCCACCCGATCACACAGAGAGGGCATGCTCTGGACCCCCTCGGCAAAAGAACTCCGACTAGCGGGGTCCAGAAGGTGGGCCTTCTCTGCTATAGCCCCCGCCCTTTAGAACATCTTGCTCCCGGAGGTGAGACAGGCCCCCTCACTCCTGGCCTTTCGGAGGGACTTGAAGATCTGGCTCTGCCATCTGGCCTGGGGTGGGGAGGGAGGTCATCAGATGGGGAATTGGCCCCTAGAGGCCTGGTGTTGCTACCATCGGCCTCCTGGATTTTTTCCTTTTATTTTGTAAATGTGTCCTGTTTTAAATTTTAATTGTATATTTATTTATTGTTTTAATATGTTGTGAGCCGCCCAGAGTCCCCC